CCAGCCATATCAGCTGATTTCAGTTTGACTGCTGATATGCAGCCCCACAGCTTGGAGAGTAGTGTCTGGCAGGTAAGCCTGTTGGAGGGAAGGGGTGTGGTGGAGGTAGACTGAGGTCCATGCAATGAGGGAGGGAGTGGAGTTGGGTCACAGGCAGGTGTTGCATAGCTGGAGGGGGGTGGGAGGGAGGGGGGCAGGGTGCAGGATGGAGCTGGCAGTTTGTCCACGGGCCACAGGGGGTGACTCCTGTCACATCAAGCACCATGGAGGAGGCCCAGGGGGAACATGCCCCCCAGATCTGTGAGCAGAGTGAGGGCCGCATACTCAGGACAGGGGCTACACCAGCCTCTTCCTGGTGGGAGGAAGGAGGCTGGCCCTGGGCTGCACTTGGGCCAGGCAGCAGCAGCACTGTAAGGGAAGGCTACAGGGGGACAGGCTACAGCCACCCCAAAATTCTCCATAGCCACCCCATAGCCCCCCCTCCCAGTGCCACTGCCACCAGCCCTGGCCCCATCCACCCTGAGTGCAGCCCTAGCACAGCCCCTGCCAGGAAAAACCCAGCATAGCCCTGGCTCTGAGCACACAGCGGCAGTCTGCCCTCGCTCAGCACACATGCCTCCCATACCTCCCCAGGGTGCACGCAGTGGCAGGAGCTACCGCTACCCATCCACAGACAAGTCACCAGCTACACCCTGCACCCTGGCCTGCCCCCACTGTGCAGTGCCTGCCCCACTCCCTCCCTCACCATTGGGACCTTGATCTTCACCCCCTATGCCCTGTCCCCTCAACAGACTTACCAGCTGGACGCTGCTCTCCAAGCTGCTAGGCTGCACTCCTGGCCATCTGCAGGCTGCGGCTGGGCTCACGCATGTGGCATTTATCAGTGACATTATCATTCACATCAACCAAAAAAAGCCAATTGCTGATAACATCAATTTTCCATTTATCGGTGCTGATACAATATGGACCGATGTATCAGTGCACCCCACACCAGTTTGCTAAACATACACAGTAAGTTTTGAGATTGTGTGTACACACACACACACACACACACACACACACACACACACACACACACACAAAAAGCAAATGCACCTTACATCACCTAGGATATAAAGCACATAAGTAACTTCCCATGCTCACTACCTATTCAAGACTTCATGGAATTGGGCTCATATGAACCACCAAACTTTGAAGTGCTCATGGAGCTCACCTACTTCAACCTGATTACTCCAGCTAACTGATCTTTTTGCACCTCTCTACTGGATAACATTTTTTATAAGCAGCTCCTCTCAAACCACCAACAGGGAACATTCTCAGCGGACCATCCACTCCATGCTGACAGAGCACAACATCCCCCAGGGGGCCAAAAGGAGCCAGAGAAAAGGATGTCACTTCAGTTTTAGTTTTTAACTGTAAAAACTACAACCAGGGAAATGGAAAGCAGAGCTGAAAGTTAAAAAAGGGGAGACAAGAGGGTTAAGAGCAAAGGCCCCCACACTGGAAAGGCTCCCACCTGCTCTTTGGCTTCAACTGAGGGCCAGCAGCTCTACCCCGAGCAGCACCGGTGTCTGAGAGGTGGGCAAGGAAAGGAAGCACTGACGGGACGCGAAGTAGGAGGCAAGAGCTGTCAGGACCGGCGGCGGCAGCACAACCTGGCTCCGCCCCGCGGTCCTCGGCAGGCCTCACGGGCGGGTGAAGCTGTAGAGGGCCTGCTCCTGCCTCGGCCCAGGGCAGGGCCGGCCCCGCTACGCACCAATACCCAGGCACCAGTGCCGGCCGCGCCCCGCAAGCCGGCAGCCGCTCCCTGCCCCGCGCTCCTAGTTTCGCTCCCCGGGACTTCCCACTTCACCCGCCCTCCCTGCACCGCACCTCGGCCGGAGCGGCAGCTCGACAGCCAATGGGAGCGGGCCGGCGGGTGCTCTTGGCCAATGCGGCCGAGCCGGGGGCGGGCGCCTACTCTGTCTGCCCCGTGCGAGGCGCCGGCGGGGAGAAGGGAGGGAGTTTGTGGGCTAGTGCGGGGCCGCCGCGGCCCCAGCCCCGGCCCCGGCCCCTGGCACCGCGGTACCTCACCGGGAAGTGTGCGCTGCCCCTCACCGCCCAGCTCCGCGCCCCGGGGCCACCTCAGGGCCGCGCCGTAGGCTCCAAGCGGGCCGCCCGGTGCGCGACTCCCGCGGCCCAACCGCGTCCGGCCGCTACCAGCGCTGTAAACATCCCGGCATCCCCGAGGAGCGGGGGCGGGGCCCGGCGGCGGCTCCTCCTAGCCCCGAGATCCCGCCCGCTCCGCCGGCCTGGCCCGCAGCCTCACCGACAAAGTGAGCCCGGGGCTGGGCCGGGACTTCTCGCCGGGCTGGGACCGACCTGGCACCGCACCGCCGCCATGTTCCAGCCCCGGCTGCCGCTCCTGGCGCTGACACAACCACCCTGGGGCATCGCCCCTTCTCCATTCCTGACTGGGCGGGAAGAAAAACTACGCAGCATCATAGAGGAGTGGAGCTGGAAGCCCCCCACTCCCCGAGGCAGGATCATGCCAGTCCAAGCCGTTCCCTACAAATCTGGAGTGGCCTGTGTTATCCCACTCAAGCCCAGTTAATGAGGGGCATCAACATGCAAATATGCCCTAGGCCCACGTCCTTTTCCTTGATTTCCGCAGCAGTATTTGCAACTCATTTGGAAAGGCTTTGCAGGTATGGGTGGTGGAAGGCCCCAGACTGATAGAGCGTAGCCCCCCAAAACATGCACACCACAAGACCCTGGAGGTCAGGGTGGCCTGGCCACAGACAGGCAGTGCCGGTGGCTGGGGTGTGCTGGCAGAGAGCTCCTGCAGGCCGCCACAGCAGTGTCAGTGGCAGGGGGGTGTCGACCACTGACCACCAGCAGTGGCAGCCATCAGGGACCACCCGTACAAGCCACTGGTGGTGAGTGGCAACCACAGGCAGCATCGGCAGCACTTTTTGCAGGGGGTGCAACACCAATCTTGAGGTGCACATGCACCGCGTTGCCAATGCCCTAAACTAATTTCACTGCAGCTGGCAACTGCGGGGCCACCATCCCGCAGCACCCCGCGCTGCTCAGCGTGCAGCCGGGCCAGCACACCAGTGCTCCAGCTACCCCACCACCACGCCACAGCCCAGTGCCCCTGCCACACACTCCTCACTCAGCCCCTCCCAAATAATATTTCCTCCCACCGCCTATGCTGGGAGGGTAGATCCTTCATGGCAGGGAGCGTCCCTTTGTGAAGTCTGCACAACTCTTAGGACAGGAGGGTCTTGACCCACAATAGAGGCTGGTGATGCACATAATCATAACAATCATAAAAGAAATGGCAGCTCTACTATCACAGTACCTGTAACGCTTGAGTACCTGTAACAGTGTGTGTGGTAATAACAGCAGTAGGATGTCAGGACTTCTGAAAACAGGATGGTCAGTCAGTGACCTTGTCCTAGCACCTGGGTCCTGTCTAGTCACAAAGTGAGGTCCATTTAATAGGCATGTTCGTTAACAGTTTTAAACTCCACTTAGTGTGAGCAAAGCAGTATTTAAAATGTATTAATCATGGCCCTTTTAGGATGGACCATAATCCATCAGGGAGGAAAAAATAACAGCTATTGCATGATGGAAGCACTCTAGTGGGAGCTTTCCTGTGCCTGGCCATAGCATATTATAAAATACCAGAAATGAAATGCTGATTAGGACTTGAGCATAACTCCTCTGAATAATGCATGGGATGGCTTCCTTTTCTCTGGGTTCAAGGACTATAGTATTAGCATCCTTTAGGAGATGCTAATACTGTACTTTCACACATACCACATGCCCGCAAATAAGACACGTATCTTGTTTTTGGAAGGCAGAATATAGGGGGGGGGGGACTTTTTTTTTTCCAGAGTTATGGCCAGCAGATGGTTTTTTCATGGAGAGCCTGTGTTGCAAAATGGCTGTCAGCTTTTCTCTCAGCCAGCAAGCTGAGGCCTGGGAAAGGGCTTACACTGGACTCTGTCCCTTTTTCCTGCTTGCTGAGAGAGAAGCTGGTAGCCATTTTGCAACATGAATGTCTTCCTGCTCCTGTTTCAGCAAAGAAAATGTTTCCTTCTTTAAGACATAGACTTCAACTGGAGGGGGGGGTTGATTCTCCCAGAAAGGGTATATGTACTATGTGAGTAATAATATCACTCTTTGGGTTTTGAAGTGAGGACACAAGACACATGACTCACAAGTAGAAGCAATATATATAGCAGGTGCCTGCTCAAGGGATTCCTGAGGTTTTCAGGCTTTCCTAGGAGTAAATGGAGCAGCAACAACTGAGAGGAAAAGAGAAAAACTAGTCCACCTGCAAATCTATTACTACCAGCATCCCTTCCAGAAAAACTAGAAACTTGCTGGCAATTAAAGTCCATTTTGAATTTTTTTTAAATTAACAGTCAGTGTTTTTATTTTCCTCCATCAGAGATCAGCTACAGATCCTCCATTGTGCACTGGTGTGAACAGTAGCAATTGCAGGGTAACATATTTCCAGTTTCAAAAAAGAGGACACCTATGGGGGGAGCGGTATATGAATGTGGTATATTATATGCCTGTGCCCTGCCCCTGCTCCTCATTCCCAAGCCACAGCCCTGCTGCTGTCTCTTACTCCTGACTCACAGTACCCCACCGCCCAGACCATGCTGATACCCCTCACTCCCAAACCACGCTGATACCCCTCACTCCCAAACCACAGTCCCTTACCCTGCCAACCTTCCCACTGCCCCTCTCTCCTGACCTGCAGCCCTCTGTGCCCCAGCCCTGCTGCCCATGCAGCTCCCTGCTGTCCCCAAAGAAACCTTCCCCTGCCTCCCTGTTCTGCCACAACCCCAGCACTAGCAGACAATTTCTCTCTCTCTCTCCAGCTGCTGGGGCCCACATAGACCCCCACTCAGACCCATGTGATGCCCCCTGCCTGCAATCGCCAAGCCCAAAGCAGCACCTTGCTAGGGCGAGCTAGAAAGTGTTGGGAAAGCAGAGGCAGAGCAAAATCCTGGACATTTGCTAATATTTTAAAAAATGCCTAGACAGAAATGGGATGACCTAAAAAGAGGACATGTCCAGGAGAACCTGGACATATGGTAACTCTGGGATGAAATGTGCCAGTTGTACAGGGGTGAGCAAAATGCAGCCGGGGAGGGCTGGATGTAGCTTGGCAGGCCATTCTATCTGGCCTGCAGGGCCCCTAAAAAATTCAGAAAATTAATATCTATCTGCTCCTGGCTTCCTATCATACAGCCCTCGATGCCTTGGCAAAACTCAGAAAGTGGCCTTCTGCCCAAAATAATTGCCTGCCCCTGCAATAGTACCATGGCATGGATCCAGCAGACGTTGTGTTTGTTTGGCTGTGGTGCTATATGTAAGGTGATTTGATTTGTGAAACATTTCTTGTCTCCATTTTGTCCCTTTTGGTGTTTTCTGTCAGAAAGCCACAGAGTTAGTGTTCATCAAGAATCCGGGTTTTCCGTTTCTCACAGAAAAACGTGGAATTCCTCCTTTAATGGAGAAAATCATGGATTTTAAAATAATGCAGGGCACCACAGGTTTCCCCTTGAAGGCTGGCAGAGTTCCGGCACGTTGGGAGTGAGGGGCTGTGGGTCAAGAGTGTGGGGCTGTGGCAGGGTCAGGGGACTGCAGGTTGGGAGTGAAAAGCAACAGCATGGGCAGCGCACCAGCATACCAGGGCTGACTGTTCAGCACCACAAAGCAGCAGGGGGACAGCAACAGCCGGACTCATCCTGGTGAGTAAAGGGGGAAATGGGAGCTCTGATTTTCCATGATTAAAAAAAAAAAAAAAAATCAAATGCCAATATATAGGTATTTAGAATAGAATTACCATACCATGGTTTTCCTGAACATGTCCTTTTCTTGAGCTGAGCTCTATGATCTCCATCCAGGTGGGTTTTTAAATCTGACCAAATGTCTGGGATTTTGCTTTGCTCCACTGGTGGGAGCAGAGGGAGGGTGATCAGAGGCAGCTGAGGAGGCACGTGCAGACCCATGTGGTTGCTCCCTGCTGCCTATGATCACCCTCCCCCTGCTCCCACCAGCAGAGCAAAGCAAAATCCTGAATATTTGGTCAGGGCAGAGGGGACGGGAGCTGGGACTGCCACGGGGCAGAGGGGTTGCCTGCCCCTCCAGTGGGAGAAATGGGTGGGGGGGCCCTTTGAGGGCAGTGGGGAACTCTGTGGCTGACCATTGGTAGCACAGGGGTTGGTGCCTGTGCTCACATGGGCTGAATGGCCAGGAGATATTGCCCAGAGGGGAGGGCGAGGGGAAGGGGAGGGGAGGTAATGACCAGGCTGCTTGGTGCAGTGCAGCAGCCCTGTCCCAGGGTGGAGGGTGCCACAAGCCTCCCCTCCTCTTCCCTCCAGCCCACACTGGGGCCAGACACACTCTGCCACCACCTACATGAATTGGAGTCACCGCACTCAGGCCTGGTCAAGACAGGGACAGCTGGGGCCCTTCCAACAGGGCTGGGTGGGGGGCCAGGGGGCTGTAGGTCAGAAGTTAGGGGCACCAGCAGGGCTGGGGGGACCGGGTGGGGGAGGCAGGGGACTGTGAGTTGAGAGTGCAGAGCACTGGCAGCACCAGGGGGCTGCAGGTTGGGAATGAGGGGCACCATCCTGGCCCAGGGGTCAGAGAATTTTGGATTCTTTTAGCATAGAATTTTGGATTTTTAACAGAGACAACCAGAATCCCTGATGATCACCCTCTCGTATTTTGACATGGTTTACTGAAAGCTGAAACAATATTTCCATCCTGTGTAACACTGAAAACAAAATTCCATT